TTCATAAAAAATGGCAAACAATCAAGTGTCAGAAATTCAAAAAAAATGACAAACAATTGACAAAAATTCAAAAAAAATGGCAAACACTCAAAAAGTGACAAAAAAATTTAAAAATTACAAACATTCAAAAAGTAACAAAACATTAAAAAAAATGTTATTTTTTTAATTAAAAAGTAATACACGATCTACCCACTTGATAAAATGGTCAAGTTAACGGCCGAAATTGCTCCAATTGAACATGTTTTTACAAGAAAAAATCAACAAATTAATGAATTGTTGCTGTTGCTTGTTGACAATTTTGTGGATTATTTTTGGATGTTGTTGGTTTAATAAATTTCAACCCCACATCCTAAATTCCTTGTCACTTTGACCGGCTATGATGATAGTAATTTTTTTTTCAAAATTATTATATCTGCAAGCAAGAAACCAGCCATTTTGAAGTAAAGCAAAAGAACAACCTTTTAACTCGAATCTTCTTTTTCACGCCAATATTATGATTTATGATTTAATTAAGATGGAAATGAAAATGTCGAACATGGTACCTCAACATGAATAAAATCGTATAAAAGGATGGACAAATTCAAGAACTAAACACAAAATAATATTGTCTTAATGGCACTGCAAACTTTCTATCGTGCATTCCCCAAACAATGTACAATCAAATGAGCACAAGAAAATGTAAATTGTAGTACCTTTCTCTGGCATAATGAATATAATTCACGCAATTTTCCTCTTAGATTATTCAATGAGTTTTAACTTACTTATATCAACAAAAACCCAAAATAACAAAATTCACTTTATTTACATGCAATCCACAAACACAGAGAGATTTGCATACATAAATTGATGATAGTTTGAATATGTATTAACAATAACAGTCTCATAACAAAAATGTAAGAGTACAGTAATAAACAGAGACAAATTGAGCTGCAAGATTTTTTCGATTTTGAAAACAAAGTCCTCTCCAGTTACGAAGATCAAAAGCTTTGGATTCCATAACAAATCTCTCCAGCCATTGAACGGCTGAACGCCTTTGTTAATGACAACGACGATATTCAGACCTTAAAATATCAGAGAGGTAAAATCTGCATTCTCAGCATGGGTTGCTTAAATTTTGATGCCATTCAAATGGGATGTAATGAACGATAGCTCTAAATTCATTCTTGAACTCTCATTGAAAATTGGGATTTTCCTGACATTTGCCTTGTTGTAGCCATGATTGTTGCCATGTTTGTAAAATTTCAATATTTTCTTGATTTTTGCAAGAAAATGCATAAATGAAATCAGGAAGAAAGGGGTTAGAGGAGGAGAGCAAGTGCGGTTGAGTGGGTGAGTTATAACATTTGGGCTTTTAGGATGTATTAATTACGGTGTTAAATGGTTTGGTTACTTTACAAGTGTACTATTCAATTTAGTTATTTTAATGTAGTGTCATTAAGACAAGGAACAAATATGTAACTATGAACCTGTAAATATACGCTTTCAAACTCAACAAACTTGTGAAATTCATTCAAAATTAGATTATATTAATTTATGATCAAAATTATATATTTATCACAGATCAGATAACTGACGTAGTCACAAAAATAGAAAATGTTGGTCACAATTGCAAGTTTAGTCATATATCACACATTTATAGACCACAAGTTATACATAAAATGTTGGTCACAACTTTTTTTATCGATTACAAATTATTAAATTAATTAATAACAATTACATAATAATTGGTCCACTTCACTCATCCCACCTCACCACCGTTGACATCACTCGAAATGCCATCACTCGAAATGCCATCACCTCATATCCACAGCTTACCACCTCCTCTACATAAATCGCAAAAGCATATGCCCCTCTTTGCTGATTTCCTCCAATGTCACCTCAATCACACTCTCCAAACAAATGCCCTTCTTCGTCGCTCTCTTCCTCCACCACTTCTATCACACTCCTCCAGATAAAATCTTAGCACATGTTTGACAACAATTATTTTAAAACTCTTATTTCTACAAATTCATTTTCAACCACACAATAAAATATTCCGTACATAAATTCAAATTTCTTTCCTATTATTTAACTACACGTTCTCCTAAAAATAATTATTCAAAACTTTATTTTCCATAAATAATAGTTGTCAGATAGGGGCTTACTAATATTAGAAATACTATCAACATTCTCCTATATCAAAGTTAGTGTCTGTTTGACACTCTTTAGTTTATTTTATGGTTTGTGGTTTGTTATAGAACCATATTCATCTACACATTTATTTAATAAAATATTTTACACATATACATAAATTTGTTCCTGCTTTTAACCACACATTCTCCTAGAATCAATATTCAAAACTTATTTTTTACCAAAATGGCTGTCAAGCTTGTGCTTGGTCTCCATTAAAATGAGTTTTCGGAAAAAAAAAAAGTGTTTTGAAATTGTGATTTTTTTGGAGAATATGTTGTTAAAAAAAAAAAAAGATTTACTTGTAACGTTAATCTCATTATTTTTAAAATAATTTTTTTTCATTTTTCTTTTTAACCACACATTTTCAATAAAATAATATTACACGCAAACTCAAAACTTTTCTTTATTTTTTAACCACACATTCTTCATCAATCTATTATTCCAAAATGCATTTTTAACCAAATAATAGGGCTCATATAAGGACTTTTTTGATAGAATGTGTGGTTGGAAATGAATTTTATAATAATATATTTTATGAAAAATGGAGTTCAAACATGGGCTCAATATAAATATAAATGTTATCGATTAATAAATTATACCATGGATACATAAATACTCTTTTAGAGCAAAAAAATTATATTAGTTGCAAAAAATATCATTTTACAAGAATACTTTTTCAATGATCTCTCCTTTAATTTATCAAGCCATTGATTTATGGTAAATGAATCTTGTAGGAAATTACAAGAATTATTCCATATTAGTTTCTTATAAAATTTAGAGCCGATTTGATTAGGGCTGTCCGTGGGTCGATTCGATTCGATTCTGAAGAGATTCGAACCGACCCAAAACTTTCGAATATTTAAAAAATGGACCCGTCGGGTCCAAATATAAATATATAATCGTTCGGGTTCGGTTCGAGTCTGTTCGGTTCCGTTCGGTTCGG